ATGTTGTTACACATGTTAATGGTACTCATGCTTGTAATCAGTCACATTGCCTTAATAAATTGGACTTGTTTTGGCATCAAAGATTAGGACACATGCCTTATCATAGAATGAAAACTATTCCTTTCTTGTCTGATAAAGTATCTTCCAAGAAAAATTTTATATGCCTTGTTTGTCCACTAGCAAGACAACAGAGATAAACTTTTCTTAAAAGTGTTATACACTCTTCTGCTCCTTTTTAATTAGTACAAATTGACATTTGGGGTTCATATAATACTAGAACTTATAGTGGCTTTAGATATTTTCTAACTTTAGTTGATGATTATACTAGAGCCACATGGACTCGCCTTCTTTCTTGCAAGAGCAATGCTCTTTCTGTCCTTAAAGCTTTTACTGGCATGGTCAAAGTTCACTTTAAATTATCTGTTCAAACTTTTAGGTCAGACAATGCTTTTGAACTTGGTGGAAGTTCTCAAGCCACCAAGTTCTTCTCAAGCCAAGGCATTCTCCATCAGACCACTATCCTACACATCCCTCAACAAAATGGGGTGGTTGAAAGGAAATACAAACACTTATTAGAAGTATCCAGGGCTTTTCCTTTTCAATCTAACCTTCCCCTTAAATATTGGGGTGATTGTATTCTAACTGTCACTTATCTAATAAATAAATTTCCTTCTATTGTTTTGAAGAATCTTTCCCCTTATGAGAAACTTCATGGCTTCCCTCCACTTTATGATCACCTGAAATCTTTTGGATGTTTGTGATTTCCTACTTTACCTAAGTTTAGCAGAGATAAATTCCAGGCAAGAGCAATTCCTTCTATATTCTTGGGGTACCCCTTTGGCAAAAAGGGTTACAAACTTCTTAATCTCACTACTCATTATATTTTATTTTCTAGGGATGTGGTTTTTCATGAACATGTCTTTCCCTATAAGTCTGGTCATCCTTATGTCTTTTCCTCTTATTCCACATCAGATTTTGTAGATTCTACAGCCTCATTTCCTTCACCTTCTCCCGCTCCTGTAGTTTCTTCATCCCAAGACTCTCATGTTCCCTCATTTCCTTCTCCTACCCCTCTATCTGTTTCTCCTTCTGTCATCTCTTCTCCTCCACCTTTAAGGAAATCCACCAGAACAGTCCAACAACCTTCCTATCTCAAGGACTATGCATGTTCTTCTGTCCTTTCCTCTAATTCTCTTCCTCACTCTTCTAAGGTATCTTATGTTGACATATACATGCATGAGCCCCAGTTCTACCAGAAGCTGCCTCACATCTTGCTTGGCAGGAGGTCATGCTAAAGGAATTTCAAGCCCTTGAGGCAAACCAGACTTTGGATATTGTCCCTCAACCTCCTCATAAGAAAGTTATTCCTTGTAAGTGGGTTTACAAAATCAAACAAAGGATTGATGGTTTTATTGAGAGGTGTAAGGCCAGACTAGTCATTAGGGGCGACACTCAAAAAGTGGGCATTGATTTCACTAAAATATTTTCCCTTGTTGTCAAGTTAACCATCATCAAGTGCTTACTCATTTTAGCTGCTAAGTGGGGCTGGACTATTTTTCAGCTTGATGTGAACAATGCTTTCCTTCATGGGGATCTCCATGAATAGGTTTATATGAAGGTTCCACCTGGTCTTGATGTGTCAGCCCCATCTTTTTCTTTTCCCTTGGTTTGCAGACTCAAGAAGTCTCGTTATGGCCTTAGGCAGGCTTCTAGACAGTGATTTTCAAAACTATCTGAAGCTTTGCAATCCAGAGGCTAAGCATGAATGATTATTCTCTATTCACTAAGGTCTCCTCTGATTCTCTCATTATCTTGGTTGTGTATGTTGATGACATATTGCTAGTTGGTAACGATGTTCTTGAGATGAACTCTTTGAAGTCCTTCTTGGATGCACAATTCAAAATCAAGGGCCTGGGCTCAGTTCACTACTTTCTGGGTTTAGAGATATCTGTTCTTCCTCAAGGTTATGTGATGAGCCAACACAAGTGCACTTCTGACCTCTTGTCTGAATTTCACTGTCAACATTTCTATCCTGTCATGACCCTTTTGGACCCTTCTGTGAAACTGGTTCTAGACATGGGGGAGTTTGTTTCTGATCCTAGCTTGTATAGGAGAATGATTGGGAAGCTCATTTTTTTTTGCAACATACTAGGCATGATATCTCCTTCTCAGTTCAATATTTAAGTCAGTTTCTTCAAAAGCCTCAAGTGCCCCATATGTTGGCAACCTTACATGTTCTCGGGTATTTGCTTAATGATCCAGCTCAAGGGGTGCTTCTCTCCAGCTCATCTAATTTGTCTCTCACAGCCTACTCTGACTCTGATTAGGCTGCTTGTGCCATTTCTCACAAATCTGTCACTAGATATTATATTACTCTTGGTGGCAGCCCCATTTCTTGGAAAAGCAAAAAGCAGTCCACTATCTCCTTGTCTTCAGCTGAAGCTAAATACAGAGCACTTCGCAAAGTTTCGGCTGAGGTTTCTTGGCTACTAAGGCTGTTGCATGACCTTGGTTTGTCTATCTCCAGTCCAGTTCCCATCTATTGTGACAACCAGGCAGCTCTTCATAATGCCAAGAACCCAGTATTTTACAAGCGCACCAAACATATTGAGATTAACTGTCATTATGTGCGCACTTGCTTGCAGACTGGTCTGATTTCTTTGCATTTTATCTCCAGCACCAATCAGTTGGCAGACATCATGACCAAGGCTCTTCCTGGTCAGATTCATCATGGATTACTTTGCAAACTTGGTGTGTTCTCACCCTCAAACTTGAGGGGGGGTGTTAGCCCAGATACATCTCAGGCCCAGTTGACACAGGCCCAATCGGATAAAGAAAAGCAGAAGGCCCACTTATAAACACTTAGCCACATCTGTTGTATTTTAGCAATGTAAATATTTTAGTTTTTTTTATTTTACACTTGTAAATATAAATAGTCTCTACACAATAATAAAATCAGTTTTTGGTCAATTACATTTTGATCGACTCACTCGTCTCTCTCTTCTTCTCTCAACCCTTCTAGGGTTTTCTTCTTTCAATACCAAGGCCAGGATCTGAAAGAGAGGATTCACTTTCCGAAATTCCAAGTGACATGATTCCTCCTTCAGAAGCTAAAGTTGAATGATCGCGCCATGACGAGAAGTAATTGTAGAATTAGTACTGCAAAATGTTCAGAGTACACTTTTCGAAACCGAGTAATATGACTTTTTTCCATCAGAAGTATTTTTTTCATTTTTTATTTGTGCTCGCTGAAAAGTTTTTTAAAAAAAATTATATAGATTTTCAAATAAAATAAAAAAAATTCAGCTACTGAGAACAGCAGTAAAGATTATGAAATTTTTTTAAAAAAAAAAAAAACAAGTTGAAGGTAGTAGACGAAATTTTCGAACAAATAATGATGGAGAGAAAAATCAAAAAGCAGGTCACGGCCGAAATATTAAAGTTTCCTCTTATCGATCATTATCTATCTCAAAGTAGCAAGTATAACAAAAGACTTGATCATGTTAAATTGTATCAGATGTTGTTATACTGGAAAGGAAATACTTACTTTTTAAATTGAGGTGTAATACACTCAATCACGTGTAATCTAATTTTCTAATTGAGTCAAGTAGGTGAAAATATTTTGTGGGTGATAGATGGCGAGGCTGAACTTGCTAACTCGCCGGTTATTATATTTTGCTGAATTTTGTGAACTACGTTATAAGTATAAATTGTTTGAAATATTTAATTAACTTACTTTAGGGTTTTCGGTAGATCATCTTATCTGACACCAAAGAATTACTTGTTATACGACATTTTTTCTTTTTGTTATGGGCTAGCTAGGATGTAATAGGAGTACATATTTACTATTGTTGGATATGTGTGAGCAAAGTCTCATATGAAAAGTAAAAAAAATTAACTTTTTTTTATTTTTAGCCCGCGTCATAAACTGTTTGCATTCGATAACCGAAAAAGTGTGTAAAATTTGTATAGCTTTTGTATATAACATACAGAATGTATATATATACGAAAAATATATATTTTTCGGCTATTGTTTTGAGAGCGGCTATACATCGTCATTTCTCCCAAAAAATGATCTACTTATAAGGTCCCAAAGCAGACAATATCAGAGCACGTTAAGAGTATTTTTGGACCGTTTTCGTCCAACATTACTCTCCCTTTTATTGCGTAAACAATAACAGTGCTATTGTTATTGTTTACAAATGGTATTGCGTAAACAAATGTGCTATTTAAATAATTGGAGAGCCTGTGTCGATAGCTTCATCACAACAGTGCTATTCTCACTTTGTAAACAAATGTGCTATTAACTTTGTAAATTAAATTAAACCACCTACAATACTTTAATCTCCAAAATATTTCTAGAGGGATAGCTTCATCACAACAGTGATCATTAGTGGAATCAAATGATTAGCATGTGCACTCCTGTTTTTATAGCTACGTACGTAACTACTAATTCTTGATACAGATGATGAGATTATCAGTTTTAAGGTTCAATTAATATTCATTAATTCAATGGAAGACTTTCTACTAATTTCTCCAATACGGTTCCGCCGGAGTCCAAGAGGCATCATAAATGGCTTGACTTTGATTATATATCATCCTAGTCTTTGTTTATTTTAAGTTAATCGTTTAACTTCACTCAATCAAACATCGTTCATTTTTTGGTCAACAAAAGGACAAAATCAAAAATCTGATCTCTACAAAACAAATACAGAGAGAAGTGAAGGGGAATGCTAGAAGAACAAAAATCTTATTTTGTTTTTATTTTATAAATTAGTAGAAAGACATTTTAGCAAGATCTGAAAAAGATAAGATACTTATATATACATTTTTAAGTGTTAAATTTTACTCACAGATAGATAGTGTCAAGTCATCTAAAAGATAAATATAAATAATCATCCATAAAATATATAACAAGACAAGCAACCTGCTAAAACAAATTAAATTTATAAAAATTATTTTCACCCTCATCTCAACTGTGCCAGGTCAATGCAGGGACTAAGCAGAATGCTGACAAAGAGGGTGCTTCTGTCACTTTCAGTTATCACTTGCCCCTTATAAGTTCCCCATTCCCCATGACTCTTTTCTTTGCTCTCAGCAATTCCAACCTCCACCTTCTTTAACTTAATAAAAGAAAACCTCTTGCCTTTTCTTGATTCAAAAGCTCTCATATCAACTTCCAAGAATTACCCATATAAATTTTAGACATGAGAACAAGCAACCACTTGATAGGTCTAGTGAACTTCTTCACATTTCTTGCATCAATCCCAATCTTGGGTGGTGGAATATGGCTAAGTAGCAGAGCAAACAACACAGACTGCTTAAAATTCCTTCAATGGCCGTTAATAATTATTGGGGTTTCAATTATGGTAGTTTCTTTAGCTGGTTTTGCTGGTGCTTGCTATAGGAACACTTTCCTCATGTACCTTTATCTATGGGCTATGTTCTTCATCATAGCTGCTTTGGTTGGTTTTATAATCTTTGCTTATGCTGTCACTGATAAAGGGTCGGGTCGACCCGTTATGAACCGGGGCTACTTGGAGTATTACTTGCAAGATTACTCTGGGTGGCTAGAGGAAAGAGTCACAAGTCAGAGCTATTGGATGAAAATCAGTTCTTGTATTAGGGATTCTCATGTTTGTGGTAAGATGAGGAGAACATATAATAACGGAATTCCAGAGCCTGCTGAAATGTTTTACCGTAGAAAGCTTAGTCCTCTTGAGGTAATTACCAATAAGCTCTTCTTGTTTTTTGGTTGTTTATATGATTGAATTCTAGCACGAATAATGTTTTAAGAAGAAAATATGCTAATTTGTTGTTCTCTATTGAATCTTGAATTTTTTTTATTTTTTTTTATGAAAATTGCAGTTAGTTTTCTTTTTGAAATTAATTTCTTTCACCAAACAATACATGACTATGAAAGTGCTTAGGGTTGCATGTACATCTGTAATTACGGCATTGACACTGAAATGCCAACTATACATGTTTAAGTTTTCCATGTTTAGATTATAGGTAAGTAACATGTGAGGTGCCAACATATACCCCTTGTCAATTTCCGACCAACCAAGTAGGATATTAAGCCAAAAGAGAACAAGAGAGAGAGAGAGATGCAATCAACTTCAACTGATTGAATTTAGAATGAATAATTAGCTTGGTCAGTGACAAAAGAAAGTGTGGACATTCTATATATGGGAGTTTTCTTTTCCATTTTGGCTTTTCAATTGAATTGGGGTAACACTCCTTTTTAATCTTTATATAGTGACGAGACATTTTACCTACTTTTCAATAAAGTGATATTTTTGACCTGTGACAAAATGCATGTTTTATGAGTCTGGATGTTAGCTACTTCGGACTGATCCTTATTTTATTTATTTTGCTTTACTTCTTTTAGTTGAATATCCTCCTTTGATTTATGGTTCTTTTAGCAGCAACTTTGGAAAAGAAAATCTGTTTGCTTTAAGTTTGCCTAACATTTCTTCTTCTTTTTCTTCTTTAATTTGTTCCTTCCCCGATCGGAAAGACTATTGCTGCATCTTTGGATCATAAGTTCATAACTTGTTAGGCATGTTAATAGCCAAAAGCATCTTCAATGCCTTCTCCCTCACTTTACCTTAGGGTGTCAAATAAGCGGGTTGGGCCGATTTTGGACGGGTCAAAACGGGTTGAGTCAATAATAACCCGCTCAAAAGTTATTTGGGCCGAGATGAATTGGGTTAAGATGGCTAAAATTTGGATCATAACCCAACACGCCCAAATCTTATCAAGCTTTAATTAATATGTGTTGTTTTCTTATAAATTGTTAATTATTAAATAAGGTTTTTTTCTTTTGTTATGGTCACATATAACATATCAAATAAAAAAACTTATTTCTATGATATTTTGAATAAAGTTACTCATAGATCAATTTGGACTAAAAATAAACCCAACTCTAAATGGGTTTAGATGAGTTAGGTCAAGATGGGCTAAGTTCAATAAATGGGGGGAGTCAATAACCAGTCCAACCTTGGGCGGGTTGGGCGGATCATTTGGGCTTGGGCCAAATTTGACAGCCCTACTTTACCCTGATAATAGCTGGGGCCTTGTAATCTCAGTTTCACACTTCAATTTACATATATAAATAAATATGAAATTGCAAGAAAGGCTCTTTCTTTACATGGTGACCATCCAAGGCAATTAACTATTCCATTTAAATAGCCTTTATGATAACATGTGGAAGAAAATTTTAATGCATGGAAAAGAAAAGTTTATGCACAGTAGGTTATGTAGCAAGAGTTATGGGTTATTTCATATTAAGTGGTCTAACACAAAAAGAAAGAAACTTCTCTAGTTTACGAGTCACTTGTAAGAGTTTGTACAAGCAAATATTTTCCTGATGTAACCTAGATCAACATGTTAAAAAAAGAAATGTATATGTCATGGATCTTAATTTGCAAGTGGTACAGTTGCCTTAAAGGGACATTTTGCTTATAAAAACATTTATTGCTTCAATCACTGCCTAATATTTTATGGCCTTTGGCATCAATCACCTACTATATGGTGGTTTATATGAAGTAAGACAGGTAGGGGTCTGCCTAAAAAAATCACCTACTACATGAAAATAGTGTATACAAGTCTGATGTTGATGTCTATGACTATACTTGGTTGGAATAGATGGAAGCCTAACTCCCAGCAAGCTCCAATAATTAGGGCCTCAATTACTGACATCACATATATATGCAGCTTGAAGAGCAAGAGAGGCTATGCGTGCTAGATGTTTAAATATCCAACAAATTAACTCCGTCTGTGTGATCTTTGTAAATGTAGCCAGTCTTAAACCTGGATAAAAAAGAGAGTTGTTGTAGGTTGACTACGGACCTAAAACTTGTCTAACTTGGTGACTACTGAATAGAATTGAACGGACACAAAAGATTTACATATCCGACCTAACCTACCTAGACGTATCTCTCATTTTCTTTCCTCGGGTTGGATTCTTCCTTTGTAAATCTCCAAATTGTTGCCTAAAATATCGATTAAGGAGCATTCACGGACAAAACTACTCTTGCTCTAACATTAGTCGTTATAGTACAGTGGTAAAGACAACTTTTCTGACAAAGCCTTGGAACTTTTTATGTAGTCTGGTTGCTGCAAGCCCCCTACAGAATGCGGCTATACTTACATGAATGAGACAGTGTGGAGTCCCGGAGGAGGGCTGGTAGGAGGTGATCCAGATTGTGTTAGATGGAACAATGATCAACAGCAGCTCTGCTATAGCTGCAATTCTTGTAAAGCTGGTGTTCTGGCAAGTCTGAAAAAGAGTTGGAGGAAAGTATCTGTCATCAACATTGTCATATTGATCATTCTAGTCATCATGTATATGGTTGCCATAGCAGCCTTTAGGCACAACAAACAGATCGATAACGACGAGCCTTACGGAGAAACTAGGATGGAGAAATCTCAACCTAGCAGGATACACTTCTAAGAGCTTCCCCATGACAATACAGTAAACCTTGAAATGTATTCCCTATGTTTGGCATTTCTATCTTATTAGAACAACATGCTTTCTTCATACTTTCATATGCCCCCTTTTCCCCTCAAAGAGAATTGGCTGTAAATCTCGTATGAGTTGTTCTGTTCTTTTTTTATAATTAATTCCTTTTTATGCCAGGGTTCTCTTTGAATTGGTTTTGGAGGCAGGTTAGTTCTTTCCGGATGTAACAACTTGCTATAAGAGGTAAAACATTCGTATACGCTTGACTTTCACTTAAAAGAGCATCGAGGATGAAATAAGAAGGCATAGTTTACCATTTTGCTGGGCATAAAAGTCACCCAAAATGCCTGCAACAAAGTAGGGGGAATAAGTACAGTATGCAGAGTATTAATAATAATACATAGTATTAATCGTAATGCTTCTAAATCACATTACAATTGCTAAACTGGTACATGTGAAGTAGGAGTTACTCTTGAACCAGACAATCTACTTTTTACTTGGGTCGGATCTAACTTTTGGTTCGCGGCCTTGCTCCGGGCTCCATCTTGTGATTGTTCTCTCTTCAACAACATAATTATCTAAGCACGATGGAGAAGTTGCACAACTTTGCTGTTGCTCAATATCAAGAATTAATAATGTTTTCGCCACACTACCACAAAGTCGAAGAGTGCAATGGAAGTCAGACCAAACCCTCAAGCGACCATTTGCACTACCATGTTGTGAAGATAATGCAAGCACAGCATATTCAGAATGTACTAGAGCAGGATGATGACGATAGGCAACAAAGTCTACCCCGTACTGAGAGCCCGATCTAACCACCCAGTTCTTACTTCTAAGGTGAGAAAAAGCTTTGTATAAGATAGGAAAATTTTCCTTCCTGGAAGTTATATGCTTCCATAACTCATCGCTGTTCAGTTCAGTGTCATTGTGGTCAACAACCTTAATGCATTTTAGAGAATACTGAAGGTAAAAAGCTTCTTCCATGCAGAGCTGAAACCATTGCTCATTCTTTTCTGCCGTTACCCTAGGCCTACCAAAACATGCACGATTGAGGAGCTCAGTTTGTTCTGTGTCTGCTTTAAGAAGCACATTCGTTCCAGAAAGCAGTCCTCGAGAGTTTGAGCGGATCAGAGAAGATTGAAGCTGGCCGACTATTTCTGAAATGGGATCTGCAAGAGCTTTAACTTCTGCCCCTTTTCCTTTCCACCTCGGCCCCATTATTCACCTTGACAACAAAAAACGAGTCTATATTCACGATATTCCAATTTACACCTGTTTACACAACCAACATTGCACCAAAAAAGGCAATCAATCAGTTACACAGCCATACGACACATGATCATAGAAAAATAGACGCCAATTAGAGACTTTCAAAGTATAAAGTAATTGCATTTTGCAATAGTAGACATTATGCTTATTAAGTTTTTCCTACAGCATTATAGAATTCACGAAATGTTGTGTCTTATTATGTCCAACCTACTTAAACTTAAATCGATGAAATGGTTGTTCCAATGTCATGCTGTGAAAGCACTTTGTCACACAACAATTGGCAGCAGCAAAATGGTAAACAGCCGCAAATTCAATTAAAGAATCCATCAAGCACAACATGGCCTAGAGAAAGAAAGCAAACATAATGCACATTCAACTCAGAAATGGTAGCAGCTAAAGAAGAACTCATCCCTCCATAAGCCCAAATGGAGCTTTTCAAGGAGTATATTAAAAACACCGGAAAAGGGAGCCACCGAGAGTGAAGCACTGCAGAGAAACTGCTGAGATTTTTATGGCTACCAATCATTTTCACCCAATTTTGAGGGGTTTCAAGGTCTGTTCATGTATGTTAAATATGAAAACAATCAGAAGAGAGAGAATACACTGTGGGGATCTAAGTGTAGGAGGATAATACCCTTACTTGGAGCACTGTACCAACTACCACCCAAAATAAGGTTCAGACAGAATTCCTACAATTCATTTCTCATGTAGCTGAATAGCACAGGTATAGCCATGTAAGTTATGGTAAAATAACACTTGAGAAAGTCTCCAAACATTTTACGAATTATGACTTTTCTCTTTACCAGAATCTGTCGCCATTTTTAATTACCTGATGAATTCAAAGTTTCAATTTTCCAGTTAAGTCATTCAAATTCTCAAGTAAGAAAAAAGAAGATTCTAGTTATTTTCTAACTGATGCTTGTACGCCCATTTGAAATATCGCAGCAAAGTGATATTCACCTAGAAGATTATCATGCAGAACCTGGATTTGGAACCATTATCAAAACATGTTTATCTACTGATCCAAAGGAATCCAAAGTCAAATAAAGCAAATATCTTCTCCTTCATTCTCTCATTCCCTGCCATATGCACTACCTTAAATTTCAACTTGCGGAATATTTCAACTCCAAAATACTGAGCAATATTTCAGCTATATAATAGCCACACAATCCTGTACTATGCTGATCCTTTGTCATCCGCGTTTGAATTTCTCATTTGTACTAGTAAAAGGCTTTAGATTTTGACACATAGCAAAGGTAAAAAAAAGTTCTGTGGAAGAAGATCTCAAAGATTATCCATAAAAATTAAAGATAAAAGAGTGAAATTGAACATAGTAAAAACATCACTCTACTGAGCAAAATATCAAACACTTTGTAGGCGGCAAGACATGCAGCAACGGGAACATTCAACAACTTAATCTGCACAAAGCACATATATACATCAATCACAAAGTTGTGGTTATATTAAGAAATAAACTACCTTTATACGGAAGCATCAAACGCAAAAGGCTTCAGACGCGTAATCACAGTCAACTTTCAAACTCTTTATGCCTTCCTCAAACTTCTCAGAACCAGACATGAAAGTCAGAAGAAAAGGAAAGCAGAAGCAATTTTAATTAATCAGACTCCCATTGAGTTTCTGTGGTTTGTTTAGTTGGATTGGTTATTTTAAAAAAATTATACTATACTAATTTTCCATTTAATTATAGATTCAATTTGCTTGCTTAATTGTATTTGGAGAAGAAGGATTTGAGGCTGGGTTGATCCATATGGGTCGGTTATTTTATAGATTGGGTCAAATAGGACCAGTGAATCAATGCCACCTATTTAATGAAATGTCTCACATATGCTATCTTATAGTTTTGTTATAAGGATGGGTCTTCTTAATCTGAAAATTAATGTCAGGGGCAGTTTTGATTTAAAAGGTGGAAAGAGGGAAAATTTACGCCATTTCCGACGTTAAGGGCATTTTGACTCTCTTCTGTTAAAAGAAACATAAGAATTCAATAATATTAGGATGTCTAACATATTATATAAAACAATAAAATTCATTAGTATGAAAAAATGTACAATTTTCTTTATAAAATCAATTAAACTACGAAAATAATATTAGTATTGAGACTACTAGCCTAGATGAGCAAAGATTTCCTATAAGCCTTTCATTGAGAAAGCATCATAAATTGCATCATAAATTGATAAAAGTTTATATGTGCCAGGTGTTTACTTACATTATTTGAAAGCTTTGACTCATGTCACTTCATTTAATAAAGTTTGTTAAGACAGATAAAAACTAAAAATAGATCAAATAAAATGAGACAGATGGAAAGAGTTAGTCGTGGTGAATTTTGAATTTATTCTCATTGATGGTCGTCTCTTACCATATTTTCATCCAACTGAAAAAATATATGAAGCTAAATTAACTTTTTTTTGAAGAGTTAATACTTTTTGTGAAAAAATGTGATAAGTAGTATTCATGCAATCTTAATTTATATGACATTTTATTTTTCATCTATGTGACATTGTTTGACTACATAAATAGTTTAAGAAATTTTTATTAAAAAAATTTAAATTTTGTGATCCAAAACAAGCCTTAAATATTTGTATTACTAATTCATCTCAAGGATAAAATAGAAACTTTAAAAATAAAGTATTTCTAAATATAAAAAATGACATTCTACATTGTACATAATCTATACTATATTAAAAGTATGAAATTCCTTAATAAAATATCGTTTGGCCTTTTTACCCTTTAAAAAATAATTTTTACTAGACAAAATAGTCATTTAATTATTTTTCAAATGTTTAGGAGTTTTAATCGAGTAAATTTGTGCATTATTTTTCCATTATCTGGGAGTTCTAAATCAACCAATATTTTGCATATTAAATATTCCTTCTTTGAACGTCTATATAATGAGGCCTAACGCGAGAAAACTAAACAAAATATTTCTTTTTCCGAGAAAAAGAAAACTTGAGGGTTAGATTACGTAATAGATTGCTCCGTTGGCCAATAAAAGATATCATTTTATGTCCTAATTTTGGTATAAAAATATACAACTTTCAACTAATCTTTCTTATTTATATTAACTATTACAAAACTAAGAAAAATATTCAATAGTAAGAACAAATTAGTAACAAGATATTTAAGAATATAAAAGACGGAGAGAGAAAGAAAAGTGTTGACAGTTCCCCAAACACAAAAATTCAAAAGTAAAATATTAGACTAATAGTTTACTCTTCAAAAACTTTAATTTTTATTGGTTAAAATTTTAATTACAGTTAAATATTTAAACTATGGATATGCAACTATATACAAAACGTAAATGAAAAAAAAACTACTTCCTTTAATGATGAGAACGAATAGAGGTGTGTAGTAGGTGGATCGGACACCACAATTATAAAACATAATAAGAACGAATGATTAAGTCTTTGAATTACTAATTAGCAAAAGAATTAAATTTAATTATTTTTTCAGTTCATCATATTAGTAAAATTATTTTCAGGATAACAAAAATCATAGGTGCATAAATTTGTCTCCCATAAGAGGAGCATCACCGGTGAAAAAAATGAACAAAATTGGTTATCATTAGTATTACGAGTCAAATTAGAAAAAATATAAACTTTGAAATAATAAGGATGAAATACTAGAAGACAAATATATTCTAAATAAATTATCATGAATTATTATTGTTTGCATTTATTCCAAAAAATGGCAACTTTTATATTTTTATATATTAAGTTAATAGCTGTAAAATATTAACTCAAATAGTTATTTTTAGATTTTATATTGTCACGTATTAACTTTATTATATAATCTACAAAGCCAACCTCTTTGTTCCCAAATACCAAAAGATTCAATTTTTCAAATTATTTGACTTATCTTTGTTTATAAAAGTATTTTTATGTTATTTGTTTGTTTTTAGTATTAGGCCATAGAAATAACAATAATTTTTATAAGATATTTCAACATAAGTCCTCATTAATCACAATAAGGTATATGAGCACTTTTATGACCAAGATATCGTCCTTTATCGAGCTAATAAAATGTGATCAACAACCATCATTAACAAAAACGTACATTTTTTTCTTTAATTTTAATTTTAATTTTATAAGTCAAACACTATTTATATTATTTTTTACAATTATGTATTCAATTTGATGGGTCTACGCGTAAAGCGCGTACCGTAAGACTAATAAAAAAAAGTGTTACATAAAATAAGATAGATGGAATATATATTTTGATGCAGATGAGTACTGATAAGTGGGGATTTTGACCGATTATTTACTCTCTTTTACTTGTGATTTAGCTCAAAAATGCTTAAAGACATTCCCGAAAACTAACAAAATGTGCTTACTTGCAGGAATATTGGGACACGAGCAAAAGAAGTCAAAATCAACTCATAAAGAAGTCAAAAGTGAACAAGAACCAAAACAGGGCAAAAAGGCAAGCAGTGGGGCCGTAGAGGGGAGACTCAGAGAGTAGTTTTTGGGCCAGCTAAAGGCATGCGGACCGCACCGAAATTGTGCGGCCGCAGGAGTCCAAGTGTGGTCGCATTCATTATTATGCGGTCCGCAAGGTTGAAGAATCAGAGAGTTGTGTCAAGTCCAAAAAAGCAAGGAGTGCGGACCGCAGCAGTTTTGTGCGGCCGCATAATCATAAGTTCGGCCGCACCCCATTTTTATGCGGACAGCAGAAGCCCCCAAGTCTCAAGCCCAAGTTCCCAAGGACCGCACGATAATTGTGCGGCCGCAGTAACTCATTGTGCAGACCGACTACAATTATGCAGTCGTACAACCTTCGTAGGGGCATTTTGTCAGATATTTTCAGCTTAGTATAAATAGAATTTTTTGTCATTTTTAGGTTAAGTTGAGTTTTTAGAAGAGCACCTGAGCCGTTTTCTTTGCTATTTTGAGGATTGTTGTACTAGATTAACATCTATACATTAGATTTTCTTTCCCTAATCAATTAATATGCATTCTATCTTAATTTCTTCTTTGATTTATGTACTTTTCATGAGTAGTTAAATCTTTAGCTAGGGTTGTGACCCAATTCTAGTGTGAGTATTTGGTGGGTATTAATTTAGGGCTTGTTTTTTATTGGGTTAGTGATATTTAGCTTTGTTCATGATTGAACCCTAGAATCAATGGTTGCAAATATTGATTCATGCCTATTTGACTTAGCCTCTACTTGAGAAAGAGAGACTAAGTCTAGAAAAACTTGGCTAACAAGAAATTGGGGTGAACTCAAGAAATTGATAGCCCCAATTAAAGGGTTAAACCTAGAGATAGTAATACCCGACTTGAGCTAATATTACTTGTATAGTGCAAATACCCAATTGGGCTTGAGAAAGCCAACTTAGGCAAAATCACTCAAACTACCAAGAGGTATAGAGTGAGTACCCGGATGTGATTGCTACATCACGACCCCAACTAATCAAATTTTCCCTAGAGTTTACAACCCATTAGATAATCACCTAGGTAGAAGTCATGACCCTAGTCCTTTTTAATCATGCTTAGTTTTATACTTGCAAACAATAGAGAAAAGTAGAAGTAGAACAACAATCAAGTTGTGGAAGTCTAATTGGAGCCAAAACTTGCAATTAACTTAGATATACGCCTAATCACATATTCTAACTCCTTGAGGATTCGATCCCGACCTTCGTTGGGTTTATTATTGCATCGACTGCCTCATTACTTAATTGTGGTATGGGTTTGGCCTAGATCAATTTTTTGGCGCCATTGCCGGGGAGTTAAACGGATTTAGCTATATATCTAGGTATTTGTGTGTTTTGTCTTTCTTTTCTTCCAAGTCACTAATTTTGTTTGTGAATTGCTTTTAAGTACAAAATGGCCCTTAACAACGAGCCCCTCGGAAATTTACCATTGGGGGAGGAGGTAGATGATGATCAAGTGGATGAGGTTCATCCCGAGCCTCAAGTAAACAGGTGAGGGCGACTGCCTAATGATAATGTCCCAAAGCTTCCCCCACCTCCACCAAGAGCAGCGCACCGGGTGTTGCCGAATAAGGGCTATGCAAGTGCAATAGTCCCGCCCCGGATAAGGGTAGGCAACTTTCAAATAACTAATGTGATGCTTACACTGCCTGAGCAGCGGGGTTTCTTCACCGGAGCTCCACACCAAAATGCCTACAAGCACCTCAAGGGGTTCGTCGATACTTGTTGGGGGAGCAAGCAAACAAATGTCTCCGAGGATGCACTGCGGTTAAGGCTATTTCCCTTTTCTCTACGGGGAAAGGCTTTGGAATGGTTAGAGAGATTGCCCAATCATTCTATCCACACTTGGGATGAGTTGGCCGAGAAGTTCATTATCAAATTCTTCTCTTTGGGGCACATGGCTATACTAAGGGATGGAATTCTAGCTTTCAAACAAGAGTCCAATGAGCCATTGCACGAGATTTTGGGAAAGATATCGTACCATGGTCAAAGAATGCCCGAACAATGATATGACCGAGGCCATGATCCAACAAACCTTCTACAGGGGGATCAACACAACGAATCAGTGTGTGGTAAATCAACTCGCTGGGGGTAACTTCATGAACACGCCTTATTCTGAAGCTTGTGAAATCTTGGATGAGATGGCGGACACCTCTTCGGCGTGGCAAAGTAGAGCCAATATTCCTCAGAGTGACCCAAATGTTATTCACCTACACAGGGAGCTACATGATCATGGGCAAGCTATTGCGGAGTTGACAACCACCATGAACCAATTGGCCAAGGCTCAGCTTCAATAGGTTCAAGGGCCGAAACAAGTGAATGTTATGGAAGGGGTGAACATGATGGTAAATAAGATATGACAACGAGGTCAGCAAGTTCAAAACCAT